ATGTATATATGTATCGTATATATATATTAGTATATGTATATTATATGTGTATATATATATATATATATATACATATATATATATATATATTATACATAAAAAACTATATTGTAGATACAGAATGGTAGCTGTATAGCTTATATGCTTTTACTATCGTGGTTAATTATCGTCAGGATTATCGTGATTTTGAGAATGCATCGTGCGCGTAGAATAATAAGAACAAGAAAGAATGTGTGAGAGAAAGTTTGAGTATGCGAGAGAGAAAGGAAGAGATGACGATAAATGATATGATTATAGGAGGAAAAGTGTGCGCGAGGAATATAAAGTTTCGCGGGACGTCATTCGTCCGTTAGATCTCGATGCAAGCAGATACATCGCCGTTTTTTGAGGAAGCTAACTCAGCAGCTTTGATCAATCTTTCTTTAATGCACTGCGAAGGGTATTCGACGCGTCGAACATCGTTGTATACAGAAAAAGCGTGCCATACACCGCGTATTTTATTGCATCTATGAATTCCTTGATTAATTTGAAGTCGATTTTAATCATTTTGCTCCTTTGCTGTATTATTATTTATAATTTAAAAACCCAACCAACATTTGTGATTAATAAAGATTACGCGGTTTTTGGCACATTTATATAGTAACTAGATAGATATTTATCTCATTCAATCCATATAAAGAGTTCCGTAGATAAAATTTCCTCTTCTTCTCTATTGTTTTATGCATAATTACGTGAAATTTTATGACTTTAAAAAATTATTATTCTTCTATCATTTTTCTTCATCATTTTGCTTTACTTCCTTTATTTCACTTCCCAAAGATTTTAAATTGTATAGCAAGACCTTGATACTTATGAAGATTAATATTAGAATGGGGGTCGGGCATCCCTATCCCATAAAAAATAAGCGTAACAAGGCATAAGTGGATGATCAAACAGGAAATGATCTCAAATGCTGAAAAATAATATGACTGATAATATTGATTAGCAGAAGTATAATGTATGTTGGTTATATCCGTAAAATACAACGTTCAAATAATCGATTTTTAAGAAAAATATATCCGATTAGAAATCTTTAATGTTCATTAATTGATAATTGATCGTTGTGTTTTGACGTGCAATTATAATAAACAGAGATAATAGAGATTTCCAAAACTCTAATGCTGATTCCTCGATTAACATTTAATATAGCTTGATAAACTATCCCTAATTTTATCTACGAAACTTCAAAAAATTATTTTCATGCAGATATAAATAGCGTTTAATGTGTTAAACGCTATTGCTCCTATAAAACTCGAGTTCTAAGAGTTTTTATATGTCTTTCTTTTAGAACATCATTGAATCAGTTAGTTGTCCTCGATTCGGTAAAGTCGACCTCAGTTTTGTCCGTCACAATACGAAATTTATTCTGAATTTTTTTTATAACAATCGATATAATGTTGCGTCTGTGTATTTCCATTTGCAAGTAATGAACAAGCTTAGCTGAGCTAATTGAATTTTTCATCGAAGCGTGACAATAAAAAATCGGTTTACTTTGAAAAAGAATTTGAAAAATTGTGACACGTTATACGCTTGTGCGATTGATTTTAATAAAAACACATTTGTTCTCTTTTAACTCTATTTTTCTTCTTCGAGCGCGAGTGTGAGAACCGACAAATTTATACGGAAGTTTGTGCAACGATTTTGAGGATTCATT